CTTTTATTTTAGCAACTTCCTTCAATTTTGGCAGCAGAGTTTTGGAGTATCCTGAAGACCAAGATTTGAAATCTGTATTGAGGGGGTTTTATGTAGTCCCACTGCTGTCCCGAATAGATAAAGGGCAAGGTAAAGATTCCCTCAAGCTGGAGCTTGACTATGCGCACAATTTTATGCATTTTTGCTAAAACAGCAGAAGGGACTGCCTTTTTCCAGAATGGTTATTTTCAATTTCCCCAACTAGCCTGTAAACCTAAGATCTCCTGGTGGTCTCAAATTCAGGTACAAATAGTCCTCAATTTACAATGGCAATTGAAACTACATTTTCCATCACCAAGTGATACATTGTAAAGCAAGGGCAGGCAAGAAATGCCAGTGGGGAAGGGAATTCCGAAGACCAATGACAACCACCATTCAGTACCATCGTAACTTTAAATTGTTGCTGAACAAATGGTTGAAGACTACCTTGTATTGTTTATTTGTTTGGGATATTGGCTAAATTAACAGAATAACAGAGTTGGAAGGGACCTTGTAGGTCATCTAGCCCAACTCCCTGCCCAAGTGGGAGACCCTACACCATTTCTCACAGATGGCAGTCCAATCTCTTCTTGAAAGTCTCAAGTGATGGTGCTCCCACAACTTCCGAGGGCAACTTCTGTTCCATTGATTGATTGTTCTCATTGTCAGAAAATTTCTCCTTATTTCCAGATTAAATCTCGCCTTGTTCAGTTTCCATCCATTATTCCTTGACTGGCCTTCGGGTGCTTTGGAAAGTAGCTTGACCCCCTCCTCTCTGTGGCAGCCCCTCAAATATTGGAAGACTGCTATCATGTCTCCCCGGTCCTTCTCTTCACTAGACTAGCCAGGCCGAATTCCTGCAACCATTCATCATATGTTTTAGCCTCCAGTCTCCTAGATTGATCAGCAAATACAAATAGATGCTTTAGTTCATCAGGCTCACAAGAGTTTTAGAGCAAAGGATCATCCTCTGAATAGTGTTTCAGGGCATGGACTCATAAAAAGTAAGTAGGGTTTTAGATGTTTGATCTAATCTAATGTGGTCAATTTATGACCACAATTAAGCCCAGAATTTCTGTGGCTAAGCAAGACATTTGTTAAGTGGATTTTGTCTCATTTTATGACATTTCTTGCCACAGTTGTTAAATGAATGACTGCAGTTATTAAGTTAGTAACATGGTGGTTTAATGCAGTGGTCACCAACCAATGGGCCGGGGACCACTGGTGGTCCGTGAGAAAATTTTGGTGGTCCGCAGAGAAATGTCACCCCCAAAGCAATTAATGTGGAGTGTGAAGGATGTGTGTTTGTGTTTATTTTCATGGTCATGATGTCCACTGAAGATGGTGTTTGATTTTGTTGTACGAGGTGCAAGGACAATAAAGTAAATTAACTAACTAATCCAGGCTGCATGGGAACACAAGGCTGCGCCGCCCACATGGCCCAGGGGAGCACAAGGCTTGTGTTGCTTGCATTGCGAACAACATTAGATAGTGAGGGGAGGGGGGAAAAGGGTGGAGGGGGGAACGTGCCCCACGCGCCCCACACACCTGGCCTGGCCACCGGGCTGCTTCTTTCCGCTTCTTTCTTCTTCTGCTGCTTTTGGCTGCACGCAAGGAAAGCAGCAAAAGTCTTTCTTTCTCTCCCCCAAACTCCACAAGAAATTAGTCTTTGGGACCCTGCAAGGCCTCCTGCTCCAAGCTCTCTCTCTCTCTCTCTCTCTCTCTCTCTCTCTCTCTCTCTCTCTCTTTTCATGATGATGTAAGCTACCCAGAGTCATTTGAGATGGGCAGCATATAAGTGAGATGGAAGCATATAAATAAGATAGATGAGAGAGATATTTTATATAATAGATAGATAGATAGATAGATAGATAGATAGATAGATAGATAGATAGATAGATAGATGATAGATATACATAGATAGTCAGACAGAAAAAAATTGGTATAGATAGATAGATAGATAGATAGATAGATGATAGATAGATAGATAGATAGATAGATAGATGATAGACAGACAGACAGACAGACAGATAGATAGATAGATAGATGATAGAGATAGATGAAAGATTGAGAGAGAGATAATAGATAGATAATAGATAGATGTTAGATAGATAAATAGATAAAAGATAGATAGAGATAGATAGATAGATAGATAGATAGATAGATAGATAGATAGATAGATAGATAGAGATAGACAGACAGAAAAAAATCGGTATAGATAGATAGATAGATGATAGAGATAGATGATAGATTGAGAGAGAGATAATAGATAGATGTTAGATAGATAAATAGATAAAAGATAGATAGATAGATAGATAGATAGATAGATAGATAGATAGATAGATAAGATAGATAGATGACAGATGATAGATAGATGATAGATATAGAAGATAGAAATGATAGAACTCGGCGGGGGTCTGGACCAAAGCTGGGGAGCAAAATAAGAAGTCTATGGGTTGCAGGTTGCAAGCACGCACACCACACTCATGTAGCATATGCCGTTCCTTCTATTGACCATGGAGGATATTTTCATAATGGCCATTACTATGCTTTAATTTAAACAGTGACAAGGAGGGGGGCCAACTGCTTAACTAAAACAGTTTTGCTTATAAAGGGAATATTCCTTCTTGACAGCTGCTGAGGAGATGGGAGCATCAGCCAAGCAGGTCAGCATGCTGGAGAAGCCCAACACGGCATGGCAATTAGCTAGGAAGCTGAATAAGCCCAGGAGACAAAGACACAAGAGAAGTGTGGGGAAGCTCATTTGCATTGATTTTAAACACACATAAGTCTGGCGGTCTACACAGATGGAAATGGGAACCCTCCCATAATTACTGAATCCTCATCAGGATCCCCCATAGGTAAGGAGGCCTCCTTTAATGATGACACAGGAATAACTTCTCTATGCAAAATAATTTCCCCTGCAGCTAAAAACGGCACTGAAGAAGCCGTTTTGTATTTTGAGAGAGGCAATTGCAGTTGTGACACTCAGGTTAGGTTGTGCTTCTGTTAGGACTGAAATTCACTTTTTATACCAATCAATCAGATCATGGAATTGGAATATAAAGAAGCGCTATTGTGACATCACGACATCAGTATATTTATGTTGCTAATTCAAGATACTGTATTATTATGTATCTTCACATATAGATGATGAAGATTAGACTGCCAACCTCAATTCATACATACTACCCTCTATTTAAATCTTTTTGTTTTGCTATGGGCATAGAGATAAATTAATTGTGCGGTTATGAAGGTGGTAGCAGCTCAGCCCTGGTTATTTCTTCTGAATTCGTTTGCGATCCATCTCCTATCACCTCCCATAAATTCTTTCTGTTGGAAATCAAAGCTCTTTGTCTAGTCTATTTTGTACACCTTAAACTGTGGTTCTCAGCTGTGATTGAAGGCCCAAACTCTTTGTCACCATAGATATCCTCAATTTGCAGCCGTTCATTTAGTGACCGTCTGCAGTTACAGCTGTATTGAAAAAAGTGACTTATAACTGCTTTTCCACACTTGCAGTATTTCCATGTGATCAAACTTCGGATGCTTGACAACTGGCTCATATTTATGAAGGTTGCAATATTCTGGGGTCATCAGTGATGGTATGCTACTGGTTCAGCCCGGTTCAGCCGAACAGGTAGTTTTTTTTAAAAGCTCCGATTAGCTCCCATGATTAGCTGAGAGGATAAAAGACTGAAAAGCGCATGGGAGGGGTAGGGTGGAAGGGTTGCTCCTAGTTTTTTGTTTCTTCAACCTCTCAGCTAATTGGCTTGTTAGGGGTGCAACCGTGAGTGACTAAGGTAGGATTCCACTGCTGGGGCTCATGTGATCACCTTTTGTGAACCTCTGACAAAATGAATGGGGAAGCCAGATTCATTTAACAACGGTGTTACTAATTTAACAATTGCAGTGATTCACTTAACAATTGTGGCAAGAAAGATCATAAAATGAGCCAAAGCTCACTTAATAAACATCTCCCTTGGCAACAGAAATTTTGGGCTCAATTGTGGTCATAAGTTGAGGACTATCTGTATAATATCTGTATTATAATCTGTATAATATCTATATTCAACTGTGAATCTCCAGGGTCCTGAACTGGCATCAGAAAGTGCCAAAATACTTAAAAATAAGTCCTTGCTCTCTACATAGGGACGTGGTGGATCAGTGGTTAAGACCTGGGCTTGTTGATCAGAAAGGTTGGCAATTGGGCAGTTTGAATCCCTAGTGCCACGTAACAGAGTGAGCTCCCGTTACTTGTCCCAGCTTCTGCCAACCTAGCAGCTTGAAAGCATGTAAAAATGCAAGTAGAAAAATAGGAGCCACTTTGATGGGAAGGTAACAGCATTCCATGCGCCTTTGACGTTTAGTCATGCCGTCCACATGACCATGGAGATATCTTTGGGCAGCGCTGGCTCTTCAGCTTTGTAACAGAGATAAGCACCACCCCCTAGAAGAAATGACTAGCACGTATATGCAAAGGGAACCTTTACCTCTCCACAAACAAAAGCAAATGAAAAGGAAAACTGGTTTGTTGAATATGTGTTAACTTCCAGCATCAAATCTAAGAATTCATCTTCAATCTCATAAACTTCCTTGGTAAATTTAAACAGTGTATATTGCAGCCACTTTCTTGGAAGGTTTTACATCTTCATAGAAGAGGAGGATATGGAGAATAGGGAGTAGGGGATTTTCTGGAATAACAGGTAGCATTCTTGTAATCAGAGTTTTGGAATTAGTCATATTTCTTTATCACAGCCATTTTTAAGAATGATGCAGCTTGCTCTCAAAATTCCAGTTGTTCAGTTCGAAATCCAGTTCAAAATTTACATGTTCAGGTTATTCATTTTATTTTTTATAAATAACTCAAGGCAATGAACATACCTAGTACTCCTTCCTCACCCTCTTTTCCCACAATAACAACCCTTTGATGTTAGTTGGGCTGAGAGAGAGTGATTGGACCCAAATCACCCAGTTGACTTTCATGGCTAGACAAGATTAGAATTCACAGTCTCCTGGTGATTCGTCCAAAGTCACTTAGCCACTTTCATGTCGAAAGTGGGATTAGAATTCACAGCCTCCTGGTTTCTAGCCAGATTACATAACCTCTGGACAAAGTTGACTCATATACAAAGGTAGCACATCTTTTTCTAATAAAAGATAAAATAATAAAAATGATAGGGGGAAGGGTCTATTTCTGAATTAAATTCCATGGCAACACTTCTGTTTGTTTCTAAGGATAATCTCATGCTTGTAGTAGCTTCCAGGAGCAACATTCTTATCAAAGGCTAACCAGCCTTTTGAAGAAGTCCGCATTGTCACTGATACCTGAAATGCAACAATTAAAACTATTAAGGTCAAGATTGCAGATTTATGATAGAGGTAGTTTTTGCTTCACATTCTGTTTATCCTTTACTTTCTCATTCTGTTTTCAAACTTTAAAAAGAAAAAAAAAGGAGATAGATCACTGTTTGTTTAAAATAAAAAGAACTACTTTTAATATTTTTCTAAGAGGACCTTACTTACAAAGAAGGTTTTCTGCCCACTGCATATTGAACCCTTCAATTTCTGTCCAGGGTAGGTTTATAGGCAGCCCAAGATCTACCAATTCTGATTTTTTTAAAAAATTATCTTTTAAAAAGGAAAGAGACATATCCTGTGATCAGGATAATAGATCATGCAATGCGTTAAAAAAAATGTTCCCACATGAATTCTCCTTGCATAGCTGTCAAAAAAGCAAGGCAGGTTGGGACATGTTACCTCTCATGCACAGGAACAGTACAAACAAGGAAGGGAGTGGGCAGACTGCCTTGGCAAGCTTGTAGAACCAGTGCTTTCCAGATGTGAGAATGACTACACAGAAAACATTCACGCTCAGCATACCCGAACATTTTATTTTCTAACCTAATATCACTGCTCTTAAAGGGATGATCATCTTCTTCCATTTTGTAATCATCTTTGACTTTCAAGCCAGATCAAAGTTGCCGTTTTCCTTTGGATGACCTTGGGGTAGTCTAATCAAAATAGTGCATCTGGACTCAGGACTAGAAAAGGGCTAAAACTTATTGCTTGGAGTTTTACAATTCACAGTGGACAGTAGCAGGGGTGGGATGCAAATAGTTTTACTACTGGTTCTGTGGATGTGGTTAAGTGGGCATGGCTAGATGGACATGGCCATATGACTGGGTGCGTGTAGCTTCTTTTATATGTTTTTGCAGCACACCCCCCCCCCCATGCTCTGTTTTTATGTTTTTTTGCCTCCTGGATCTTAGGGAAGCCTCCTGGGTAAGACAGCACAGCTGATTGTTGGAACAGCTGATCATTGGGAGGAAAACTAAAAAAAATAAATACCAGTTTGGGGAAACCGGTAGCTGTTTCTTTACTACTGGTTCACTTGAACTGGGCTGAACCAGTAGAATATCACCACTGTTGTAAGTCTTTGATTTACAACAGTTCATTTAATGACCTTTCAAAGTTACATCGTCATGAAAAAAATAAACTTACGACTTTTTACTTATGATTCCCCCTCTTTTCCCTCATCTAAATCATTTATGGAGAGAATTGTGTCTAAAATGGACCCTTGGAATACCCCAATGCTTACTTACTACCATGCAGATTTAGTTCCATTGAGGACTGAGTGCAATTTGTCATCCAGTTGTAAATACACCTGGTAGTGATGCTATATACCCCCTACCCCCTTTTTTTTTAGCTTACCAAGAAGTAGGTTGTGGTCTATTTTGTCATATGCCTTACTGAAGTTCAAGTATACTATATCCACTGCATTTCACTAGCCCATTAGCCAGTTTATCAAAGAATGAAATAAGATTTGTTTGGCATGATCTGTTTTTGACAAACCCACGTTAACTTCTGGTAATAACTTTGCCTGCTTGTAGGTGTTGGCAGATCTGTTTCTTGGTGATCTTTTCCAGGATTTTCCCAGGTATTGATGTCAAGCTGATTAGTCCATAGTTTCCTGAATGTGGGTCGTCCCCCACCCCTTTATTTATTTATTTTTTAAATAGGAACCATACCAGCTCTTTTCCAGTCCTCTGATAGTTCCCCGGTGCTACAGGATCTTTCAAATATACGGTTTAATGGTTCTATGATCTCATCTGCTCCTTTGGAACTCTGGGATGTAATCTATCAGATCCCGGTGATTTGAACAAGTGCTGTGATATTTGGCAATATCCAGTTTATAATGATATTTGCTTGGGGCAAAATCGTTGCTGGTTTCTATTCTCAAAGCAAAAGATCTTCGTATTGCTTCCCTACAAATCACTATCCACTGTTTCCTATTCCTATTAGCTTTGGGAAAATCCCAGGATTGTAGGTCTAATTATAGAAACACTACAGTTATGTATTTTCATCCTCACACTCTTCCTCCATATTCTTTAGTGGAATCATCAAGGAGACTAGCTTTTAGGCAGAAACTTGATTTAAGGCAATAAGGAATCCTGTTTATCCAGTTTCACGCCTCGGTTGAAACATCGGTAGTCCTCATCATACAACCATTTATTTTGCAATAATTTGAAGTTATAACGGCATTGAAAAAAGTGACTTATTGATGGTCCATGCACTTACAGCCGCTGCAGCATCCCTACAGTCACGTGATCAGATGGATACTTGACAACCAGCATGTACTTACAAAAGTTGCAATATTCCAGGATGATATGATTGCTATTTGTGACCTTCTCGGATGGCTTCCAACAAGCAAAGTCAATGAGGAAAGCTACATTTACTTAGGGGCTACATACTTCACTTAACAAAGATGACAAAAATAGTTGTAACATTGGCCATGATTAACTTAACCATGTAACTTGGCCATGTAAATTCTGGTTCCAGTTATGGCTGAAGTCAAGGACTACCTTCAGCTTCTGCCACCCTCACAAACTGGCCATAGAACAAGGACCTTCAAAGATAGCCTACAAAAATATGGATTGAGTTATCTGCATGGAGAAGTCCCGTACATCATGTTATTCTTGCCATGAAAGATCCTAATGGCAGAGATAATATACTCACTCTGACTGGGGGAAAAAAAAAAGAAATGAAAAAGAGTTTCTGAGCAGATCCCGAGGGCTGGAAAACAACACCCAAATATTTATACATCTTAACCTGCTCAATCATATGTCTGTTCATCTGCCAGCTGCATTTTGTTAAGCATTAGAGAAGACCATGACTTTGGTCTGGCAGGAATGAATGACAAGCTTTCCCAACAAAGCTATGAATAAAAGGCAGAATGATCTTCGCTGAGCACAAAGCTGAAAAAAAAAAAAGCATGGAGGACTGGTGCCAAAGTAATTTGCAGGCAAGCATTGCACGATGTGTGTGTGTGTGTGTGTTTCCTTCACAGCTGCAAAGAGTGACATTTTATGCATATTGGAGAAAATAACATAATTGTTGTACGAATAATTACAGTATTTCTCATCCACCGAGCATGCTGGAAAGAAGGATAATCTCAGTTGCAGTCCTCTTTTTATGCCTTCACGCCTCTTGTAAAAAGCAATTCCTCATGGGGTATCCTCCCTCCGCCCCCATTCTCTAATTTCCCATTAATTGAAATGTAGCAGTAGACAGCCAAAAGAAAGAAAGAAAACCCTGTAATCCTCTATCAAGATTATCAGTTCTCCAGGTCATTGCTGTCTTAAAGGTGCTTTTTATTTCTCTTTTTCAAAAGGCAACTGGACTGTTTTTGTGGAAGATATTTCACTTTTCATTGAAAAAAGCTTCATCAGTTCAGTGAGAGAGAAGAAAACACACGAGCTATTTTTTTTTATGCAGGTGTTTTATATTCTGTCTTCGTTGCTTTTGTTTCTCCTTCCTGACCCTAGAATATTCATTTTAATTCAAAAGTAGAGCATAACGTTAGCAGTAAATAATTAATTGACAGCTTGTTAGAAACACCCAGGAACACTTATTCTTCCGTTTTTACTTCAGGTCTAGAGGTAGTTTGCCAGTGGAGAACAGTTGAGAGCATGTTGAATGGGTAACAGTGGAAAAAGGACTCAACACCTCTGTAATTTAATGCAGCGAAATAAAATAAAATAAAATACAGAGAAGTATAAAATAAATTGGACATTGCTTGGTATGGCATTCCCTAAGAAATTTTAAAAACCCACCTATCTCCAAATTGAGTGTTGCTATTATTAGAAATAACTAAAATAATGGCTAAGCTTTAATGTTTCCTAGAACTTTTTGTCAAGCAAAATGTTACAGAAAACAGAAGACTGGAAAGTGGCAAGAAAAGACAGAAAATAGGTTAAATGTTCAAGACAAGAGGGTTGACATTTGAAGATGGTCCCTTGATAACAGTTATGGACCAAATGATCAGAGTTTGGGATTGCTCAAGGAGAAACACAAAATTCATTAGTGCTCTTTACATTTTCCAGCAATCTTGCATATAAACAGTACAATATAAAACAGGAATAAATATTACAACTTTCCTGCCTACAATGCAGATGATACAACAGTGGTGGGACTTATCTCTGGGGGAGGAGGATGAGTCTGCCTACCGAGATGAGGTGGGCCGGTTGCTTTCGTGGTGTGGAGACAATAACTTGGTCCTCAACACCAATAAGACCAAGGAGCTTATAGTGGATTATAGAGGGAACAGATCAGACATCCAGCCCTTGCTTATCAATGGAGGCCGAGTGGAGCAAGTGGCCAGTTTTAAGTTTCTGGGTGTTACCCTAAAAGAGGACCTGACCTGGGGTGCCCACATTGCAGCCCTGGTCAAAAGGACTCAGCAGAGATTATACTACCTGAGGCTTCTCAGAAAACAACTGAATGAGAAACTGCTGGTGACCTTCTATCGCTGCACCATAGAGAGCATTTTAACATACTGCACCTCTGTATGGTTTGCCAATTGCACAGTGGGAGATAGGAAAGCACTCCAGAGGGTTAATGTCATTGCCCAGAAGATCATTGGTTGCCCTCTCCCCTCTTTGGAAGAGCTTTATAGCTCCTGCTGCCTTAAGAAAGTTCAAAACATTCTCAAAGATCCATCTCATCCTGGGAAGCCTTTTTTTTTTTAAACTATTACCATCTGGCAGACGGTACAGAATAATAAAAACAAGGGCAAATAGGCTGAAAAACAGCTTCTATCCCAGGGCAGTAGCTCTTTTAAATTCTGCTGTATAGTGCAGTGTTGGTGTGGTGTCGGGGGTTTCTGGTTCAATGTGTGATGGGTGAAGGATGTGTGTTTGTGTTTATTGTCATGGTCATGGTCATGGTCATGATGTACACTGAAGATGGTGTTTGATTTCGTTGTACGAGTTGCAATGACAATAAAGTAAACAAAGCAGGAAACTTATTTGAGGTGATACCCTTTT